TCAATCATTTCAGTAGTAAGCATAATTGTTGCTGGTAATTTTTTAGGATGAACTAGAAGTCAATGACTGTTGTTAATCAGCCTTGTAATGCACATCATCCTATTGGCAAGTGACAAAAGATAAATTAAAAAAGACATATATATAAGAAGTTGGTAAAACCTTAACACTAATTAATAATCATATGTATAGACATCAAGTAAAATAAAGTTACATATGTATATATAAAAGAGTCCTAATTTGTTTTATTGTGTCATTTTGGTATATATATATAATTTGAATCTTATCAATTTGTCATTTATTTATTTAAAATTATATTAATTTAGTTCTATAGATATCATGTGTTAAGAAGTTAGACAAAAATCATTGATAAAATGGTTTATACTCGAGGGAATAAACAATTTCAAGTTGGATTTAACCTCTTAATCATTTTGAGAAGAGTGAATGGACTACGCTGCCATTTGATTTCAATTTAATTTTGAATGAACGTATAAATTGGACTAAATTCAACAATATGACAAATTAAGGTATGAAAAATTTATAGGTAAAATTGATGCAATCAAAATTATAGAAAATAACATAAAATAAATGGAATAACTTCTCCAAAAGTATAGAAGTCCTTTCCAGTTTGACTTATGGGGTAGTTCATCACAAGTCTCATTTTAGAAATCTTAGTAGTTCATTTTCTAGGTCTCTATATGTGAATCAAACATAAGAAAACTTTATTGATATGATAATTATAGTTCCACACTTTTTTGAAATTTTAGAACAAATTATGAATTTTTTTTGATGATGTTTGTACCATATTTGGCATAACCAATTAGAGGCTGCCACGTGGTATTAAATTTTGAAAGACGAGAAGCAACCACGTGTCAACCTACACCGTCCAAATAATGGGTGGGTCAACCCATGAGACGAGTGCCTCAATCCATCTATGGGTTACCACGGAGTAGACTTGGTCAACTCAACGATTACAGGTTTTTAACTTTCAAGAAGTGGTTGTGGAGCAATCCCTAATTTCTCTTAGCCATAACAACCAGGCAGTTATAAAATAGTAAGGAGGATCTACCCATAATGTGTGACATGTCCAACTTCCAGAATTTCTTGATACTCAAACCCATTATATTAGCTAATGTGCTAGTGAGGTGATCTCTAAAAGCATGAGAAATAGACATGGGGCAAATTGTTATGAAGATACAACATATCAGTTAAGGACGAATTAACTGGAATTATGGAATCATGACGAAATAAAGGTAGAATCTGAATGTGGAGTAAGAATATAGCACCAATAATCAGCAAAGGAAGAGAATGGGCAGCATCAAGAAGATGATCATGGGATACGTGTCATAGAAGATTATCAGCTTATTTAATCATGTAACTACTTCCAGTCATTAATGGAATAGTTTATTTTATCATCTTTTTATATGACTCTCATACACTAACAACCATATAAAAAATAGTGAAATTCTCTTGATTGAGATAAAGAAAGAACTTCGATGGTGTTCCTTTTAATCACCAACTTTTGTTTGAAGTTAGAAGTTAGATTTTTTTTTTTTTTAGATTGAACACATTGCTCACATTGGATCGCAATCTGATACTAGCACACTCACATTATTTTTTACGTCATCATTTGTGCAATTATTTTTCTTTATAACAAACAGATGACAAAACTAACAAAATTATGTGATTACGATAATCATATCAATATGTAAGTGATTTATACAAAAATTTATAAAATAAACATCTCAAATCATTAAAATAAAACTTATGATAAACTAAATAAAGGTGGGTGATATCAACGACGGCTATACAAAGATGTGTCAGGGACATGATGATCAGGTGTGCACGCCTGGTTTTGTAAGGAGTTTAAGTAGATCAAGTATCAATCGACCTGAGCTTAACCTGGAGGTGGTGTTGGGCCTGAACCAAGGAAGCAATGAAATGGGAGGACTTAATACAACTCAGGTCAGGCCCAATGTAATTAATTGGGTACAAGCTAATGGGCCTCTCAATTCAACTTCTAGCTCATCTCAGGTGAAAGAGAATGATATGGTCTGTAACTCTGCTCTGCAGAGGAAGAAAGGAAAAAGGAAAGTTATAAAGACAGTTAAAAATAAGAATCATCCCCAAGGAAAAGGTTATTTTGACCTTGTGAAAAGATTTGGCCACAAAGGAGCATCATCAAGCAAAGAATCTAAAAAAGGAGCAGTATTACGGGCACCTATAGTTGAAACATCCATTTCAGCTTCGATGGAGAATGGTGATGATAGAGGCAGATTACTGCTCAATGAAACTCAAGCTACGCTGCAGATGGGGAAACTTTTGGGCGTGAGTTTCAATGGGAAAGAGGATGAAGCCCTAAACAAAATCATGGAACTAGAGGTAAAGGATAAAAGAAAGAGTTGGGAGGGGTATTGGAGTATTGGCATAGGATGTCTCTGTCTTGGGGCTCAAAAAGGTGATTTTCAAGTTCTTATAAAGATAATGTCATGGAACATGAGGGGTGTGGGTAGGTACCAGAAGAAAGGAAAGATAAGACAACTTTTAAAGGAAAGAAAAGTAGATGTAGCCCTATTTCAAGAAACCAAAAAATCTGCACTTACAGAAAAGGATGTCAGAACAATGTAGGCAAGAGACAAAATGGACTTTATGGCCGTAGACTCTATAGGCTTGTCTGCAGGACTTTTGTGCGTTTGGGATCCTAAAGTGTTCCAATTACAAACTTGTTGTAGCAATAGAAGATTTATACTGCTGTCAGGTACTCTGTTTAATTCTTTTAGTTGTGCTATTCTCAATATATATGCTCCAAATTTAGTTGGTGATAGAAAGAAATTATGGGATAGTTTGTTAAAACTAAAGATAAATTTCCAAAATCCCTGGTGTCTATGTGGAGATTTAAATGAAATTAAGACTATAAGTGAGAGAAAAGGCTTCTGTAGGAGAGATGGGAGCGTAAAGGATTTGATTGATTTTATTGACAAGTCTGAATTAAATGATATGCCATTACTTGGAAGGAAGTTCGCATGGTGCAACACAGCAAAAGGCAAGAAATGGAGTAGAACTGATAGAGTTTTAGTTGACCCAAAATAGTTAGAGGGATTTAAATTAAAACTCTGGGGACTGCCAAGACTTCTTTCTGACCATTGTCCTATACTATTGATGGAGGATGAGAGAGATTGGGGCCCCAAACCTTTTAGATTTTTTAATGCCTAGACCTTGCATTCCAATTTCCCAGCTTTTCTAGAGAAGATTTGGAACAATTCAGTGGTTCAAGGTTGGGCTGGTTTTGCTCTTCAAATCAAACTGAAGACTTTGAAGTTTGCTTAAAAAAATTGGAGCAAGAAGGTATTTGAGAATGTCACTTTCAAGTTAAAATCAGCAAAAGATGATCTCCACTCACTAGATCTTATTGCTGAGTCTAGAGATCTAATGGATGATGAAAAATTAAGGAGAATGGTAGCAAGAGAACAAATATGGAAGCTAAGCAGGATGGTGGAATGGTTATGGCTGCAAAAGTCAAGGCTTAATTGGAACTTAAAAGGGGACAGAAATACCAGACTTTTTCATGTGATGGCAAGGAGTAGACAAAGTAGAAACGAAATCCCTTCTATTTCAGTGGATAATGTTCTGTTTGAAGACCCTAATCAAATGAAAATGAAGGTTTATAAGCACTTAAGGAAGCATTTCTCTGAGCAGTAGGCTCCTAGACCTACTCTAGGAGGGACATTCAAATCAGTGCAGTGTAGCTCTTACTGTGGGGTGCTAGAAGCAGAGTTTTCAGAGGCAGAAATTAGAGTTGCAGTTAAGGATTGTGATGATAACAAGGCTCCTGGCCCGGATGGTTTTAATTTGCTTTGTTTTCAAAAATTTTGGAAGTTAATGAAGGGTGATGTGTGCAACTTTATTAAGGAACTAGCGTATGCCCGTGCCTAAAGGCACGATGTAAATAATATTAAGATTAAAATGTTATACATGCTCTACAAAATTCAAATAAAATAACAACTCCCTTAAAAAACTTGTAACAACTCCCTTAAATAATATTAAGATTGAAATATTTTTCTTCTTAAAGAACTTGGAACAATTTTGGTTGTATTACATGCTCTACAAAATTCAAATAAAATAACAGCTCCCTTAATCTTAATGCAAATATAACAACTCCCTTCTTCATAAATATGATTTATTTAAAAATTATCAAACCTTTCAGTCAAACCCAGAAATGACAGCAACGAAAATTTCATTTTCTCTACTTCTGCCGCCACTTTCTCGACAACCAAACAGGAAGAAAGAAAAAATAAATAAAACCCAAATAGAAGAGAGGGAAGGAGGAAGTGAGAGAAAAACTTATGGAACTTTAGTTATGAATTAAATATCAATTCTTTACATTCAGTCTTTACATTCTTTCTTTCTTTTTCCCCCTCTTCAAATGGAAGACGTAATAGACTCCTCAAAACTTCTGGAACTTTAGTTATGAATTAAATCATTAAATCATAAAAACAGGGGCAAAATGTGCTTCTTTTGCAAATCAATCACTAACCATAAACAAAACCTAGCATTTACATACAACTTTAAACCAATTTTATATATACAAAAGAAATTCAGGCACGGGTTTTATTCAATTATTTAATTTAATTTTTACAATAAGACCAACTTATATAGCTTGTATTGTACCTCCTCATGAATGCATAATAATCAAAGTATACCCAGAAAAAAATATTCCAAGAAAACTCAAATTCCCATATACCCAATTGAAGTAATAGAAGAAATATGAAGAATTGATAAAAGCAACCATCCAAAGAATTGGGTTTTTTTCTAGCAACTACTACTTTCTGTCGGAACAAACAGAGGGTGTAAAAGCTTTTTCAATGTTCAACTAATAATCAACAACATGAAATAAAACATTTAAAAGAAATGTACAACAAATGCTTCTTAAACTATAGTAAACAGGAAATTCCACCAAAATGAAAACTTTATAGCATATTTTCCAGTTATATTCATCAATTTTCACCAACATCAAACCAAAATGGAAAAACAAAGTAAACCCAAAATCCCAAACTGCAAATCAGTTGAATTTGTGAAGTTAGTTTCTCAAATAAGAATGTGCAAGCCCAAAATTTACTGAAAAGAGAGAATATAAAGCACAAACTGAGATGAATTAGAATGTCTTAAATTGGAAGAAACCCTATGAATAAAACTTGATCGGTTCCAGCAGGGAGAGGCTGAGCAACAAATGTTGGGATCTCATCCATGAAGCTGTCAGGTTTCCCAGAATGCAAGATCCTGGTGAAGCCACCCATCTCAGAATTGGGACCATCCTTGACTTGCTTGAACCAGTAGTACATAATCCTAGCCTGCCATGTATTGTACACTGAATCAGAGGCTGTAACCGCCGTGTGGAACAGCCTCTTCTTGGGTGCTGTTGTTTTGGATCTGTCAATTGGCATCTTGATGATGGGTTTGAACCCACTTGATGAGGATGATGATGGGAAGTCCTGTTTGAGAGGAGCATTGGCTGAGATGATTGCGTTGTAGGTGATTAGAGCTACTGAGAAGGAAAGACTAAAGATTAGAGTAAAGATTATCCAAAGATTACCCAAAGACTAAAGATTAATTAATGTTTCAATCAAAAGATTAGAGTAAAGATTATCCAAACCAGGCTTAATTAATGTTTCAATCAAAAGATTAGAGTAGAGATCATTATCAGTAAAGACTAAAGATTAGATCCAAAAATTAAAGATTAGAGTAAAGATTATCCAAAGATTACCCAAACATAGAAATATAAATACTAAAGAAAAAGCCCAGGTTTGCTCACCGGAACTGTATGTAAACCGTTTGTTCCCATATGAACCGTATTAAAGAACCTGAACCGTATTAAAGATTAAACACCATTGTTCCTTTTTGCAGTCCCATTGTTCCTCTTTTGCAACGGCTCAGTCATTGTTGATGAAGATTGGGAGAGAGAGGAAGGAAGAGAGAAGATGAAGAGAGTAATATGGGGTTTGGGGTTCAATCGCCAAAAAGGGTTGGGCGGAATGGGCTCCGATGGAGGTAGAGAGAGAGGGGGTGCCGTCGTCAATATTCAAGGGTGTTTGGGACAACCACTATTGGTGGAGAGATGGAGGGAGGAAGAGAGAAGATGATGAGAGGGAATGGGCTCCGACAGGGAAGGTTGGGCTCTGATGGAGAGGGAGAGAGAGAGGGGGGGCTGTGTGTTTTCAAAATTTGAAATCAAAAAAGAGATAAATGGGAGAGACAAATGGGAGTGAGAGAGAGAGAGAGAGAGAGTTTGTTGAAAATGAGTGAGACAAATGGGGTGAGATATTTTGAGCTTTTAGATTAAATCAATCTAATGGTCCAAATTTTGACACAGGTATAAGAGTCACATCCGGATTCAAAAAGCCTCTTGAGACTGCATTCCTTCACCGGGTATGTTCAATTCCTTCATTCCTTCACCGGGTATGTTCAATTTCAATGGCCCTATAGTTGCAACTTGCTAGTACCTAATCATAAGAATGTTATGAGACTGCTCATGGGATCAATAAAACATGATATTCATGAATCATGGACATTTCATACGTATAATACATGTGTTACAGGTAAAATGTTACCCAACTTGAATCAAGCTACAAACCAAATTTATGTCATGGAGTATTACTCATGATGAGTTTAGAAACAAACAAAATATCCACTGGTAGTGAAATCAGCACAAAAATATAATGGAAAGGGATCTCCCCCAACGTCTAAGGCCATTAGGACCAAACAAATGCAAGAAAAAGTGTAGTTTATGGTATTAGGAGAGTAGACACTCATACTGCAGTCCATGGTTTGTACTGCTGCAAGAACCAAGGCATGATAGGGAGGAGGATTTTTTGTGAAACTATATGTTCCATACAAACAGGCCAAATCTTTTCAACTGTGTGGTTCAACCACCGCACAGTTTCAGAATCAGAGAGCACCGATAAAAGGCAAAAGGAATTAAACATTTATACCTATCTATATTAGCAACAAAGAAAATTTCTGAAGGAATCTAAATATATATATATATATTTTTTTGATAAATAGATCTAAATATATGCATATATACAGAATTACATACATACAATATAACCAAGCCAAAAAAAAAAAAAAAGATGCAAGAAGAAATAATGCCCCAAATTGACAACAAAGTGAATATATGAACAAAAAGAAAAAGGCAAATATGATATTAAAGTTTTAAATTCTGAAATTTTCACTATTTCGTACCCAAGAAAAGACACCCCCCACGGCCGCCGTGAATTTAGCCCAACATAAGTACGTACGTACTAAGTTCAATAGTTTTTTTGGCCCTAAAACAGCATAAAATAGGATAGTAAAACTCAATTTCCTTTTCTTAACCTCAATTTTCCTCATTCTCATCAACAAAACACAGAGCAAACCAAAGTGTTGCACAAAATAGGCTACATATATAAGGTTGGTAATTTCTGTAAGACAAAATCTAAGTCATTTGTAATGTATTTCGAGCTGGTTGTACGGTTAGTAGGGCAATTGCAGATGTTTGAAGAAGTGTTTGTAGTCTAAGTCATATGTAGTGTCACTTGTGTTTTTTTTCTTTTTGCAATTATTGTGCTGATGAATATGATTTAAACTGATAATATTTAAATTAACAAACTTAATGAATTGTCCATAAAATTAATTTCACAAACCAATTGAAGGAAAAATCATCAAAATCAAAGAGATCAAAACTTACTCGTCTTTGATTGGAATTTCTTTTTTCTTCGAATCGTAGTTTTCTCCGCAATCTCTTAACATACCGCTTATGAACCTCCAAAAACAGAATCACATGTGTGAATTAAGTGAGACATTACTCATCCATGAAATATAATGACTAATTAATTACACACAATAAACACATACACTGATACATATATATGAATAGGTACATTACTTTACTTACCAGAAAAATAGTTTTTTTCTGTTCCAATGCTTTTCTAAGAAATTATATATGTATCATATATATTTAGAGCCAATGAAAATAGTTTTTTTCAAGCATATAAACTTATGTATATAATAACATAACCAAAAATATGTATATACACAATGAATTGAAGTACCAACCACAAAGAACTGCTCAGATGGGTGTCTACAGATCCAAATATCTCTACATCTATTCAATGCACTCTTCATTCTCTTCGTCGAAAATAGTTTTGCTATGTTTTTTAAGAACCTTGAATCACAGTATTGCCTGTAAAAGACCTAAAAATGGGCTGTTATATTGGATTACATTGTGTTTGGGTGCTCAAAAAACAGAGGAAAAGCAAACCAAATCCCAAAAGTTAACTTGGCCCAAATTGTGAACTTTTCTGGGCAACCGAACAGAGTTCAAATTAGAACATATCAACTTACTCGTCTTTGATTGGAATTTCTTTTTTCTTCGAATCGTAGTTTTCTCCGCAATCTCTTAACATACCGCTTATGAACCTCCAAAAACAGAATCACATGTGTGAATTAAGTGAGACATTACTCATCCATGAAATATAATGACTAATTAATTACACACAATAAACACATACACTGATACATATATATGAATAGGTACATTACTTTACTTACCAGAAAAATAGTTTTTTTCTGTTCCAATGCTTTTCTAAGAAATTATATATGTATCATATATATTTAGAGCCAATGAAAATAGTTTTTTTCAAGCATATAAACTTATGTATATAATAACACAACCAAAAATATGTATATACACAATGAATTGAAGTACCAACCACAAAGAACTGCTCAGATGGGTGTCTACGGATCCAAATATCTCTGCATCTATTCAATGCACTCTTCATTCTCTTCGTCGAAAATAGTTTTGCTATGATTTTTGAGAACCTTGAATCACAGTATTGCCTGTAAAAGGCCTAAAAATGGACTGTTATATTGGATTACATTGTGTTTGGGTGCTCAAAAAACAGAGGAAAAGAAAGCCAAATCCCAAAAGTTAACTTGGCCCAAATTGTGAACTTTTCTGGGCAACCGAGCAGAGTTCAAATTAGAACATATCAAATAATAGCTTACCAGATTGAAGGTGTGACAAAACCAAACCCATTGAATATCAATATGAGGAAGAATCATTGGGGGATGATGAGTTGATGTTGATCCAACCGTAAGATCAGAAATCAATGGCATCCAAAGCTCATCATACCTGAATAAAACCAATCAATCACAAAATCATCAAACTCAATTCGACATTAACTACGCTCTGATCAGATTACTTACAATAAGACTTTCATTGACCCACACACACCAAAAAATAAGTGTTATGACCTTCGTACAGATTCGAGAGTAGTGGGTCTAGTGTGGAGCCAATGAGACTCGTCCACGATTCTAAGAAACCAGCCAACTCGGTGACCCTGTTCTCAATCGGAACCCTATCTTGCGAGCAACGAACATTGAGAGAGAATGGGGGAGAGGGGGAGAGAGGGAGAGAGTTCTCAATCTGAAACCCTACCTTGGGCGCAGCGAGCACTGAGAGAGAAGGGGGGAGAGGGGGGAGGCAGAAATCGAGGCCGAGTTGGAGAGGGAGGGTATAGAATAGAGAGGGAGAGAGAAAGAGAGATAAAGAGGGAATGGGGGAGGAGACGCTGGTAGGTGGGAGAGGGAGATAGGGTTTGGGCGGGAATAAATTATCATCCGAACCATTGATGTTTATCAAAATTGATCTGAGCCTTTGAATCTAAATGTATCTCACATACATTTTATATATTTTCAAAAACCTTCCTCCCTTATTATATAGATTTCACATGCATAGTAAACTGGTGAAATGATTGAATAGCTCCTTCATTTCACTCATTCCTAAAAAAGAAAATCCAGTGGGTCTTGGAGATTATAGACCCATAAGTCTTATCGGTTCAGTGTACAAAATTTTGGCAAAGGTGTTGGCTAGAAGATTGAAAGCTGTGTTGCCGCATATAATTAGTGAATCTCAAACAACATTTATAGGGTGGAGGAATATTGTAGATGGTGTTCTAATTGCTAATGAGGTGGTAGATGGTTGGAAGAAATCAAAAAAGAAGGGTGTGCTTATTAAGCTTGACTTTGAGAAAGCCTTTGACACTGTGAATTGGCTTTATCTCAAATCTATGCTTTTGAACTTTGGTTTTGGGAAAAAATGGATCAGCTGGATTGAAGAGTGTATATCCTTTGCTAGGCTATCAGTCCTTGTCAATGGATCCCTAACTCAGGAGTTCAGTCCACAAAGAGGCCTAAGGCAAGGGGACCCCTTATCTCCTTTTCTATTCAATTTGGTAGCAGAAGGCCTTAGCATTTTATTGTCTAGAGCACAACAATTGGGTCTCATTAAAGGAGTTATGATAGGAGCTAATGGGGTGGTGTTGTCCCATTTACAGTTTGCGGGCGATTCATTATTATTTTGTGAAGCTTAGGAGGCTGAAATTTGTAATTTGAAAAGCATTTTAAGATGCTTTGAACTGATCTTAGGTTTGAGAATTAATTATCACAGAAGTTTAGTGTGTGGAGTGGGTGTGCACGAGGATGTCATTGCTTCCTTTGCTAAAACACTAAATTGTAGGACCAAGTCCTTGCCTTTTCACTACCTGGGACTGCCTCTAGGTGCTAATCTAAACAGGAAAGCAACCTGGAAACCTATTTTGGCCAAACTTAAGAGCAGGTTAGCTGGATCGAAGAGAAGGTTACTTTCTTTTGCCGGTAGGCTCACTCCAATTAAAGCTATAACTTCATCTTTACCTGTGTTCCATCTATCTCTGTTTTAGATGCCAGAAGGGGTAGCTAGTGAATTTGAGAAGCTTCAGGCCAGATTTCTATGGGGTGGAACTGAATTGAAGAAAAAACTTCATATGGTGAAATGAGAGGAAATTACAAAAAGTGTGGATCATGGTGGGCTTGGCATTAGAAGAGTGAAAGAGGTTAATGATAGTTTATTAATCAAGT